TGGAGGAGGAGATGCTTTTGGTGAAGGCGTAGCATCTGATGCTGAAGGTTGGTAATCTTTAAACTTTGCAATGTCATCTTCCTCTTCAACGGTAATAGCAATCACCTACAGAATTACCAGTATTCATCAAGGATTTTTTTTATTGATTAGTTCCCACAATGATCTGGCTATTCTTGGCATGTAGCTCAAGGCAGTAAAATTCAAAGAGGAAGGAAAATTCTAGTGGGTCAACTATGTGATATTAGAATGGAAAAAAAAAACTATGTGATATTAGGAGTATATATGAATGAACAGATGCACTGCATCATAAAATAAGGGAATTGTCAGTTTCTCTATGCAGCTATTAGTTAAAAATATGGAAGTACCAACAAAGATACAAGTCAAATAGGAACTAGGAGGTCCAAGCACTAGCTTTTATCGTGGAATGTGCTGTGTGATGCATCAACTACATAGATGCAGATATAGACAAGTGGCATAACATTCCACACTGTGAAAATCCTGGACAAACGAGTGAAAAAATCAACAATGGAGATAATAGTGAGTCCCTTATACCACATGGCTTAGAGTCTAAGTTGTCTAACACCAAGATACAACACACCCAATTGGTACTCTCAATCAATTAGATTAAGCATCTATACCTCTCCAACTTTGATACTGCTTGCCCCGTCTCCGCGAAGAATCTTAGCTAGATATCCCTCTTCCATGCACTCCATCTCCACAGTTGCTTTATCCTAAGGGGATTGAATGAGTATCATAAATACCATAATCCAGAATCACGACACATAAGGAAAAAAAAGTCCCTCAACAACATCATGATAATAGCACCTAAAAAGTGATCCTACTGTTTCCACTTCACATAGCACTTCACCAGGAGAAACTTTGTCACCCTCTTTCTTTAACCATCGAGCAATATTTCCCTGCATAAAAGTATGAGGAACCGCTGAGGCGCTAAGACAACCAAAAGTGCAGAAAGACTAATGATGCTCTGAGGAGCTTTAATGAGAGAAGCTATTATACCTCTGTCATTGTAGGTGAAAGAGATGGCATTCCAATCTCTTGGTGTGGAGGAAGATCTGAAAACAGAAATTAAAGCTTCGACTAAGGATAAGAAATTAAAGGTGTGGGGGTTCTCCCGCTTTGGTTCCATGTTTCGAAATTAAAGCTACTAAGGATAAGAAGGATCTCTCTAGCAATAGGTTGGGCAAATAGACACAAATAGAACTAAAGTAAAAGATAGGCAACAAGTTAATGCAAATGACTCAATTAGAGAGCATTGACATGGAATTGTCCTCCCGTGAATCTTAACTGATAAATAGGAACTAGACTTATAGTGAGTAGATAAATGCCCATAAATAAAACATGGTTTATAAGCATTCTGGAGGGTGCCCTGAGAATAAATTTTCTGATTGAATAGCCAAAGGACAAAGTGATATTAAAAGACAAGTACCTGAAGCAGTGGAGAAACACCTCCTTGAAGGCACTTGTGATCTGACACCCCAAAAAAAAATCAGAATTTGCTTGAAGAGGATGATCAAAACATACTTTTAAATTTATTAAGAAGAAGAAGTAAGACAGAGAACAAACCCTGAAGACCCTCTCATGAAAGCCATGCTAGCCGTGGAGGCGCATGGATCAATTGCATTTCTCAAAGCATTTCCGTTATATGTTGCCACAAATGACACCTACAGTCAGAAACATGATCTTAATGTAAACATTGCTGCTCAGATTCAACAGGAAAAAGAAAACTATAAAAGGAAGGTAAAAAGGAAATAGAGGTCTGGTCACAACCGTGGGTGACACTGCTCTACAACGGTTGTTGGAAACTGCTGAACCAGAGTTGCATCCACTGAAGGACTTGGGAATGTTGTGTCCCCCTACAGATACAAAACGGCACCTTAAAATATCTGTAAAAGCCATAAATAATTGAATCATACATCACAGGGAAAAATGAAAACATCACCAGGAAGAGATCATCAAGACGGTTAGTCGCAATAACAAGAAAAGAATGACAACTAAGATATTCTTCATGGACATGTTCAGACATTGTAATATTCATTGTTAAAGAATTGGACACAGTGACAAACATATGATAATACGGATAATTCATAAACACCAATAATTAAAGATACTAATTTACCATCTCCCTTCTCCACAGAAGACCTCGTGCCATTACTGAACCAGCGGACAAGAATAGCAGAGTCATGCCGTAATAAGTTAGAAGAACTTCTGATCTGCAAATAATTTGAAAGCAACAGAAACAGAAACAAAATAAGATTAACAGGTTCTGGAATAATTGGACACACAGTTGGATGTTCCAAGGGCAGGACCAGATAAATTACATAGATTAGGCGATGCCATTTGAAAAGACAAAGTACATTAGATGCATCACCACTATATACTTTAAAGTATTCCCTTTCTTTTTTTTCTCCTTTCTTAACATTGCGAGGGAGGTGTGGCCTAGTGGTCAATGTAGTGGGAGAAGAACCATGAGGTCTCAGATTCAAATCTCAGCAGAGGCAAAAAATACTAGGTGATTTCTTCCCCATATGCCTAAGCCTCGGTGGCCAGAGTTACTCAGCACTTATGTTGTAGTAGCAGGTAGAAAAATAACTAGATACAGATAGCAAGTATATTTCTAGGATCGAAATGGTTTGGGAAGGCGAAAAATAACTAGATATAGATAGCACGAATATGTCTAGGATCGAAATGGTTAGACTAATTGCATGAATTCACGCTGATATCACCATACGACAAATATCAACCAGCAAGCAAGATGCCTAAGTCTAAAACTGCTATCGGTAAAATAAAAAGAATTTTCATGTCCCACGCCATGTGCATGAGTTATTTCATTTAGGTGTGAGCAGTGAACCAGCTTCTGACTATCAAAACGCCACTGAGGAAATGTGCCTCATTCAACCTAATATCGATATAAATCGCAAAGCTCCAAATTCATAAAAATTAAGCTCTATAGTCATAAACTAATCTATAGCTCAACTGCAAGCATAGCTCCTAACTCCAATTCCAAAATCTCATACAAAATAAAACACCGCCAATCACTAGTCTACCGCGATGAAGAAAAACGTCGATAAGAAATATATATTCTTTTCAATATTGACTTAAAATGCGGCACAACCACGGGCTCATATGGATCACAGATATCACATAATTGGCAATCAAATTCTTCCTTCAACAAATTAACCTAAACGCGCAGATTTTAGGGATTCAAGAATACAAGTCAATACTGAAAACTTGAATAGATTTAAAAAAAAAAAAAAAAAAGGAAATCAGAATCAAACCTTTTTGGAGTGACGAAGGACGTGAGTAGCGTAAGTCATAATGATGGTTCCAAACCTCCAAATCGAAAATCTTCCCCTTTTTTCTTACCTTTAATTGTTAATAAAGCAGTATTTCGCTATGAAAGGGTCGGGTGAAGGTGGAGGGTGGCTTTTGGAGTGTAGAATTGGACACAGAACAGATTCAACCAAAATGGAGAAGGCTCCTACGGCTCTTAATAATAAGTATAGACTAATTTTCTTCGGTTTAGATCGCGTTATTCTTCCCCCACCCACCTCACTTTTTCTTCTTTCCTTTTTGTTTTTGTTTTTTCCTTTTTCTTTTCTGTTCTCGTCTTTTTTATTTTAAACCCATTTTTAAAAAAGAATTAGTCCTCGCTTGTGTATGCGCTTAGGTGGCTGACCTATTTCTTTGGTAAATTTTTTATTTACCAAACTTGCAAGTTATGTACATAAAAGAAAAAAAGAGACTACCTATTTTCTTCCGCTCATAATTATGCATAGAGTTGAATTTAGAATCTAAATCTGATATATTCAGTTTTTCAAGTTTACAGTACTAAAATTGTTTTACTTTTGAAATTATAAGTTTACGTTGAATATTTGTCAAAAATATTTATAGATTACGTTCTGTTGATATCAAGTTTCGAAATTACTTTTGCCATCAAACATAAAAACGGGACAATTAGGTAATAGAGTATCCATATTTTTTTGTTGGATCTCACACACGCTCTGACAAAATCTCTCACAAGCTCTGATACCAATTTGAAGGATTGAAATACCCCGAGAATAATTTAGGCACAAGTAGAAGAAATTTATTAAACTAGGGAGAGAACATGATAAGAGGTTTTTTCACAACTCATAAACTCTTGAATCTCTCTACATATTTACCTCTCTATAATAGAAAATATGTAGTAGCACCCCTATTTATAATACTACAAAATCAAAAACCTATTCCAATATAAAATTGGTAAACAAAACCTAACTAGACATGAATTAAATAACCTAGTAAATACCAAATCCTAGACGGTGTAGGAATACGAATTAATCTTGGTTTAATTTCCGACAAGTTTGAATGAAGGCATGCCATGAAATTATATTTGCCACGCAAGGCTTTGAGTTCGAGACATTTGGTTATCGGAAATGAAAAAATTCTTTAACATAAAGTGTCTCACTTTAATAAGCTCTATGTCGCAAAAATAAATTAATTGAATCAGAAAATTTCAGATATTAATAGTCAGAAAATGTGCATAAGTGGCTCGGTCAAAAAAAAAAAAAAAAAATTGGGTATAGCGGTATAGGTGGGCTAAGGTCAGTGGTCAGCGATAAAGCAGCTCTCAATTTCTGAAAATGCAGCTCTCTTTCCATTTCCGACCTTTTTCTCGTTTTCTTTTTTTTTTTGCTTTCTTTATTATGAGAGTTTTGGATATATTCCCCACTTGTTCCAGATGACGAAAAGAAATTGGCTTTTGCTTTATAACTGTTGTCACTACTATGTAAAATACTTCTATTGCTTTGTTCTAGTCCCGATTTTTCAGAAGTAAAAAGATTGTGTTGTACAATACGAATAGTCTGTTAAGTTTATTTCAAATGTTTAATTAGACACAATATTAATTGATGACATACGAAGTAGTGGAGGGACATACGTGCATGAAAGCACACTGGTATGGTGATACAAATAAGTCCTAAGCAGTAACAAAAATAAAAATATTCAGTTGTAATGGAAAGTTACTTGCATTTTTCAGTACAAAGTTAGTATCGTTATACGTCTTTCGGCCTTAACCAATTTTAAGCTACCAAACACCATAAAAATAAAGCGATTCCTCCAAATTACGAAACGATATTCACTTTTGCTTCAGGCACTCTTGACACTACAACGTAAAAGAAGCAGCAAACAACTGAATAGTGCCGATATCTATTGGTTGTGCGCATACCAATTTTAGAGTCAGACAAGTTAGTATTTCTGAGTACATGTCTGGCATTGACTTTACACAGGAGAATGAGATGATAGGAAAGGTCTGATCTTGGTATTTGCAAAGAGCCATAAACCCATGCAAAGCTATTGATTCTGACCTGAGATGCGAGCTACTTCCGCAATCATGTGTGCAGCAGCGGACTCCCTTGCTTCACGCGGACTCTCACGTATGTTGCTTTCACTGGTAAATTCGAAATCTGCACCTTTCACAATGACTTTGGCTTGAAATCCACCTTTAAAGGAGCAAACACTGACAAGGATTAGCTCAACTTTGCAGGGTACTTGAGCAAGACATTTTAAAATTGGAGAGTGCTCACTTAATTGAACAGGTAACTCTAAAACAAAAATCAAGATTCAAGGCTTCAATTAGTAAAATGAGAGCTGGAAAGCCAAGCAATACTAGACAAATTGGGAGATGGGTCTTCTGTTGTAGGTCCACATGATCTAATTTTTGGGGTTGAATTAGGCCCAAGGTCCATTTCTTCACTAGATCAAAACCGATACGAAAAAAATGTGAAAGAGAAAATTGTCAAGAATTCAGAATAAATCTTCACAGGCTATCACAGTTGTGCAAAAGAAATCTCATCAAACGTCCCATCACAATCATCAATAGCAATAGCATGTACGATTGATATAAACGAAGACCACTATATCCGTTTGATGTAGATGGGAAAGTTTAATATCTTACCCTCAAATGGAAAGACCCGATATGTTGGCAATGCCCAGTTACTCCTGCAGCACAGTTGATCCAATTGCTGCAGACATAGAATTGAAGAATAAATGTGTGGATGTTACATATATGCAGCAAGTAAAAAATCAGAATAAAGAGCAGACACTAATACCTTTAGGATAAACAATTGACGACAGGATTTCAGAAAGAAACAACCAGTTGAAAGTTCTTATCTTTGCCATATGCTTATCCAATATTAAAGATTTTATATAAATAAACAAATGCATTCAAGTCAAAATAACTGCTGACTTTCTTAGTTCAAATAAAGTGAACACGTCCCTTATATTTCCCAATAATGACTTCCCATGTATATTGAAGGAAATATTAGAAATACCGAACATGAAGAAAATTTTCAACCAACAATGGAGAACAGAAAATAAGAAAAGCAAAGAATTAAAAGGAAATGTCAAATTAGGATGCCTCATCTTGCCTGACATTGGTTTTGCAAAGTAAGAATGGCCTCGGACAATCTTTTTCCCTTGCTATAAATAGATTGGTCTTCTACCAGTTGATTGGTATTGTACTCAACTCCTTCACCTTTCACACACACGTCATTACAGCCATCTACAAGAGCTTCAATCTTCAATGGTAAATCATTTTCATCTCCTGCATACAAATTAAGAAAGACATTATGCTGACAGTTCTCAGACCATTGGTTTAAACTGATGCTATTCAAGTGAAAAGTATCCCAGAGGTTGACATAAACTATCAAAAATGGGTATCAAAACATCAAACATTTGCAATAGATAATGCCACCTGTCATAAGAGAGAAGTTACCAGAATGTTTTCTGTCCATTGTTTTTCTCAGTTCCAATTAAACCGACACAGAAATGTCAGCTATGGGTCGTTGCAATTAAACCGACACAGAAATGTCAGCTATGTTTCTAATTTCTTAAAAAAAGAATTTCCTTTCATTATTTATCATCTTTTCAGTATCATTCTTTAAGAAACAAAAGGGCCTTGATTTATCTCATAAAATCTGAAACTTACCAATAATGCAGCTAATGCAGCTTTTAGATCTATGTTATGCCCGCATCTCTAAAAAGAACAGAGCGGGTGTATGATTGAAGATAACTAATTAAGAGATAATCAAAATTTCTTTCCTCCCTTGATCTTTAACTTTCATAAATGTGGAGACGCCACCAACTCTTTACCCTGAAATATATTTGATGGACTAAGCTGAGCTTTGACGTTTGCAGGTTCATCCATTGACAGACTTTTTCACATCCTACAAGTTTCAACCTTTTCCGTACCATTTGCATTATTGTTCATCTCGCTCTTTATGCTTCTTTCTTGTCCATAAATGTCTCTTCCTTCTCTTACAAAGCCGATGACTTTTAGTAAGGTATGCACTATCAAGTGAGAATACTCTCTAAACATACACAAACTTCTTCTTTTTTTGGTTTTTTGATAAGCTATATAGGAGATTCTTCAGAAGTATAACACCACACGTGTACACCTGTTCATCCAACTCATCAAGGAGCTTACAAGGTGGATTTCAGATTTATTAAAATATTAGGCAACAACTCTCAATGAAGGATGATATTGCCCACTGTTTCAGCTCATTAAAGGCAGCTAGTGGAACTTTTGCTGGTTTAAAGATGACGAACAGACCAAGAATGGGTGATATTAGCTTAATTACACTAATTTCTTATAAAATGGTGGAGCTTCCTTTTTCTTGGTTAAGTCTGTGACTATATCATTTCATCAGATGCGACTCTTTTTAGAGAGAAAAAGCAATTTGCTTAACAAGGAGAGAAATACATTGGTGAAGGTGAAATGCCCTTTATACAAGAACAAAACTAAACAAAGTAACCAGGCAATGAAATTTTTTGACAAGATTCCATTTTAGTGGTGCTCCCATGTGAGGAAATTACTTTCTCTGACACCAAATTGACTGGCATAAACCATTGTCACACTCCATTTTCACATATGATGTTACCAGTCGGTAATTGTTTTAGCATCAAAGTTATACAAATTTTTTTATTTTACTCTACTGCAATCTATCTGACTCGTGGAAGGAAAAAAATCCTTACCAATTTCTAAGGAACATGATCCTTGAAGAACAACAGAGAGGAAAAGAAACACGAGAAGGGAAGTTTTCATGCCTTATTTTTGCAAGTTGTTAATAGCAAGATAGATAGAAATCCAAGAATATATATGAGAGCACAAAAAAAATTGATGATACTTGGAACCTCCAGTCGGCAGTTTGTATTCACTCTAATAGTCGCACATTATCTATGTAATGCCTTAAAGGTAACCAAAAAAAAAAACTCCCTGCCCAATAAGAATTTAATATTCATTGAATAAGATGAATGACGCTAGAAAAGAAGAAAAGATCACACCATTTAATACTGTCCGAATAGTTTTATCACACAATGCAATCTCATCTTCCAAAGTGCGTAGCTGAGAACTCTGAAAGTAAAAAAGGAAGATATCAGGATGGTAATCAATGTCTTAAAAGTTTGACGGCAAATTGTGGAAATAAACAACATAATCCACAGTTTTCTACCACCATATATCGAGATAACTGAATATGTTGACTTCCTTAAAGCCTTCACTCAAATGGTCTTCCACGTCTGATCCCCAACACGAATGGGACCCCCCCCCCCCCCCGGCACCCCCCAAAAAAAATACAAAATAGAAAAGTGGGAATGAAACAAGACCACCTGATCAACCTAAAGATGATGGAAACTTCTTATCAAAGGAAACAAATAATTTTAAATTCTTAATTTTTTAGTCAGAAGTTCGTCAAAGAAAATTTGGAAAATTCATCAACAAGGAATGGTGTATTAGTCACTTGTCAGAGAAACTAGTACAAATTCTCCTCTTAGGAACTCCAAAAAATGTAAAACCCAAAGATTCATTTGCAAATTCTGATCTGTTGTTAATAATATTGCCCAAAAGTGAAACTAGCAGCCATAACTTTGTTAACCATAGTATGAAAGATTGTCAACTTGAAATGGCATGCACCTAGGACGACATAGGAAGAATAGCAATATCAGAGGCAGGTACCAGTTTCTCTCTTTTCCAGTAAAGAACAGTCAAGGCAGATCGTGATATTGCAGATTCCTTTGAAGCCAAAGCGGTTACTACATCCTCAGAATGTTGAGAATCCAACTGAGACGAGCCTACTGCAGAGAGCCCCTGAATGCCTCTTCTTTTCGCTTCAACAATCTTTTCATCATCACAATCAGTATTGCACGACTTAATCATGAGTTGAACCACGTTCTCCTGTCAACATGCTTGAAAACTGAATACTCACAACCATTTTCATCCATGCTCCAATAATCTTGCTAATCATATATATTTTGTCAGATGCATCCATAATATCGACTCTGAAAGCATGAGGTAATAACAAACTTATACTGTAATTACTGTAGGAGTTAGTTTTCACCTCATTTACTTCTTTCTCACTAGAGCTACCTCCAATATGTACATCATATGCATGACCAGCTACCAGTTCTACAGTTAGATCTTGCAAGCCATTTGGTAACAGCTCCCTGTGATCACAATTCATTGTACTAAAAAAAAGGAACTATGCTTAGTATCCTCCTCTCAATAGTTTGAAAGAGCAGAAACTAGATATCTAGGAAATAAACAAATATTTATGTTATCTAGAAACAGAAACTGAAGGTGGGCTTCAGGATAAGTGCAATTTTGGAAGTACGGGTTTTGGTTTAATCTCTTAGAAGAAATAGATAAAATAAAGTAAAACAAAACAAACACATAGTCACTCCAAAGAATAGATGAATCACAGTACAAGATACGGAACCAGTTAATCGCAAAACGGCAAAAGTACTGGTGCTATCATATGCCTAAGATACAGGTAAGGCTTTTCAACGGATAAGCATAGTTTTTATACAATCTGAATCAGTATCAAGCAGAAGTACCAAACGTCTTAAGTATGATCTCACGACCAGTTACCTTGGACTTATTCAACTACAATATTTTGTTAGATAGGCTAGCATAGCACTGCAAATATTAGTGTCCCACATTGGATAAGTGAGAAAGCACTCATTTTAATACATGTATATAAATAGATAGAAGCGTAAGGCATGAAGGCCATGTATTCCCATAAGCTCTTTCTCCCGTGTTTTATTTCTCACAGTCTCCTATTGGTAAGAGACCTCAAAGCGGGGGTTTATATAGCTGCAAGGAACAGTTAGAACTCTGAGTTACTCACCGGAAGGGAAACAGCTAAGCTTCTGCTAGAGCATATAAAACTGAAAGGTAAAGAGCATTTTCGCTACAGAGACTAGAGTGCAACGTCTGACTAAACATTTCAAAAGAATAACCAAAAGTAAGTGAACCAGATGAAACTTCTACCTAGAATACCAATTCGACAACATATCTCTGTAGGGCATCAAGTGAAAATACTCAACAGCTGGAGAAACCGCCCATCCACTTAGGATTTTCTTGATTAGAGGACCCTGCAAGCTACTCCAGAAGCAGATTCAGGAAAAAAATAGCCATTCCTCGTCATGGGAGCAATATTTATAGTACTGAAAATAAAACTTAAAGCAATATTCATTTATGCAATGCAAAATTGATGAACATTAAGATTTTCCAGATTATGCATCAAATATTGGTAACAAATCTCACATTTGACAAGAGATGTATATGATTGTCCACAGTTGACTATCGTGGTTTGTCGTTAATTTTTGAATATGTAGAGAAGTGGACCAACCTTTCAATGACGTCTCCAATAGGAACCATAAAATCTTCATTGACAGACTTAGTGAATTGTACAAGATATAATCGAGCTGCTTCTTTTTCTTTATCTAAGGAATATACAAGGTGGCTCTCTAGGACAACCAGATCATTTCTATTGATGCCTGTTTCACATGCAAATTACATGAAATATTTAGTCATTCCACAAATATTACAGTGTATATACATAACTGAGGTTCCTTCAAGGATAGGATATTAATCAGTATACTAGTAGCAAAATTAATTTACTTCAAAGAATTCAAAATCCGAAAAATGGTAAGGCATGACTAATCCTAGTGACAATAAAAATAATTATATATCAATTCAGCTAGTCTCAGACAAAATCAAACCAAACTGGTTGACCAACAGCCAAACAAAGGAAATAAATATAAGAAAAAGATTCCTAAAACTCAGAGATAGAGACCAGGAGAGGTTTTGGAGGGGGAGGGGGAGGGGGCTCAATTATAACCAGCACAAATAGAAAGAAGATAGCTCAACAAGTCTGCATGAAAAGCACTAATAGTTGCTCTACCTCACTAGTTTTCCTATGCTCTTAATGCAAGTCTTAACTTAAAATTCTAGAATTTGGGATTCATCGTTAAGCATATACCTGTTGCTTCTGCGGCAGCAGAAAGCGCAAGCTCTTCGAGGCCTGCTCCATCAGTATACTGAGAACTGGTTGAAGGTATATTAGTAGATCTTTTCTTTTTGTTTATACACTTTGAATCAAAAAGATAACCTGAGGAGACGTCAAGATGTTTTTCAATAATGGACCAAACAGCATAGGTCATAGAACTACGCATGAGCAAGCAATTCTCCCTCCTTGAGTCAACTAAGAATACAACAACTTTGGAAATAGGCCATTTCTCTGATAGTGGATCAACTTGTGCAGCATCCAGTGCCGAAGATATATCACATGCCCGCATAATTGCCTTCTCAGTGAGCGAGATTTGGCTTTCCAAATCGTCCACGTCTGTGTAATCTGATCGACGCATTAATTTCATATATGTCACCAAACTTGGTTTCAAAACTACAGCCAATTGGCAAAATGATGTAAAATTAAGAAACTCTATTTTATGATCTTGATGTTGCTTCCTATAGTAGTAGTTGTAGAGCAACACAACAGCTTCCACCTGTCAACATCAGTAACCAGTAGAAGAGTGGGTTAAGTAGCACACAACAAACATACCATAGCACGCTTAAGTACTCTATGTAGGCTTTCGACTAATCAAAACTAGCATATCCTTCATTACTCAACTTCCATATCAAGCTTGAGTATGCTATCGTACTGATTAATCTAAATTCAAGCATGATGCAGCTCACCTCTACTATAATCATTTATATAGACTCCCTCCATTCCTATTTCATAAGATCTTTTCCCAAAGTCTATTTAACGAAATATAGAAGTTAAGAGTATACGGATGAAAAGAAAGAGTATATCGATTAGTTTGTGTTTAACTTTTACATTTAAAATCACCTGTATTACACTAAAACTTGCAAAATTTTGCACTTATTGAAATATTTAAAAGTATTAACAAGATATAGCCAGAGACAATTTTGTTTGACTCCAGGTAAGCCCAAAATGACAACTTTACCAAACAAATTGATTACAAATTATTGTATGAAAACCAAAAGAGAGAACATATCAAATGAATGAACAGAGAGTGGCAGGATATAATGTACTAGTACATGTTTTGCCATGGAACGTTGTTGATCAAGTGTTGGAACATCCTTTGATTTGAAAGAATTACGCCCTAATAATGGTTCCACCATGCATTCCAGCAATGCCTGCACCACTTCCTCCATCGGAGCCACCTCCTCCATTTTTCCCGACATCTGATTCTAGAATTAAAGATGAATTTTTGGGCATGCAGAGCTGTTGAGGGGATTAACAGTGGGGAAATGTGGATTTTGGCCTGAAGCGGATTTGGGGTCAGAGTGGGGTTTTTGGCCTTGGGGTTCACTGTACAGTGATATAATAGCGTGGGAAGCCAAAAGTTCTTAATAGCAAAAATTTATTCTTTTTGAAAAGTGTTCTTATTCATAAGTATTTCTTATTCATTCTACTAATTTATGTTTGATTAATTAATTTAAAAAATACTTTAATTCAAAATTTTCAAGTCCAATAATGATCGATATTTAAATACACACAAAAATTCAGATTTGGGAAGCTTGCTCGAAAGTACTATAGATAATATTTTATATCACTCACTTCGAATCAAAGGATAAATTTTTAAAATAAAATTTCAAATTCAGGAGCTTCAAGCTAAATAATGGTGGGTTTTCATACATACATAAAAATCAGATCTGGGAAACTTAATATATTAAGTAATCGTATGTGCTCCTTAAAATAAAGAAAGACCAAAATATTTAGTTATCATACTATAATAGCTACTAAGTAAGCTTGCAAAAATGAAGCTGAATGTTTTAACATTGTGTATTTCAAATGCGAAGGCAAATATGCACCGCAACATGAGCGAAGATAGCTTATTGGGTTATTGAATGGATTTCATATTTTTTCCCAAAGATAAAATTATGGGATTTAATTAAAAGAGAAAATGCACGGTTTGGTATGTTGGATAAAACAAAATCAAGGGAGAAAGAGGAATGAGGTAGACAGGAAATAAATTTGGATCAAATGGGTAGAAATTATAAATAATTTTTAAATAGGCAAAAACATGTAATTAATTTGTGCGTCATAGGCAGGTTGTGTAGTTTCTAAAAAAAAAATTATCAGTTATCCATTCATATTATTCACTAAAAATAGGTTGGATAATTAACTTTTTAAAAACGGATCCAAGTATGGATAAGAACCATATTATTCATTTAGAAAATGGATAACTAATGGATAATTAACGGGTTTAACTTTTACTCTGTAAAGCCTCAATTTGGGGGTTCCTCAAGTTGGAGAGACTAGAAATTCTCCCAAAAGTAATCATATTCAAAAAGTCATAGATAATATGGATATCCATATTATCCGCCGGTTAATCCATGTTTTATTCATATTATCCGTTCTTTGCATTATCCGTTTTCGACCCGACCCGACCGTTGCCACCCCTAGTAGGAGGCATAAGAATAGTATTGAATATGATGTATTAGTAATATAGGAATGAGTTATGATGGTATTAGTTATGGTGATATTATTTCTCATGACTGTTTGGTGCGGTGTATTAAAAATGACATGCATTATATAATTTTTTTTAAAATTATTTATTTATAAAAATACCTTTCACGTTCTTTAGCTTTGAGGTCAGGAATAATTTTTATCGTTAACCATGCTTATGTATGTATTAACAATCTTGGTATCGCTAATACCATTGGTTTGTTACATATTAGTTATACATGAGAGAATACCAAATAAAATATATAACTAATAAGTTGAAAAAGTGTACCAAACAAAAAATTAATAATGCCAAAACTAATACATGCATTATTTTTTCTAATATATGTACCAAACGACCATTAATGTTACCACACAAAACCACTTTTTGTTCTTCCTAAAAATCTGGTCAAACATACACTCATAAATTAATTTAAATATTAAACAACTCATTTTATGCTCTATATTATTATTTGTAAAAAATCAAGCCAGCAAGTTCTCTCACACAATTCAATATATTTAACTCTTATATAATTGCTTTGAAAAGTGTTCAATCTAGAACAACGTGGAGTGAAAATAAATTTTTTGGAATAAATAGTGTTGTTATGATATGGTAAAATTTTACTTGCACCGTATATTTATAGCGGGGGATTTGCAACCGTACTCTATATTTGTGTCACCTTTTAACTTGTACCCTATTTTTTAAAATTATTCATTTGGTAGCCAACTGACAAAAAAATCGTAATAATATGACAATTACACCCCCTGACAAAAGATATAAAACCAATATCATGCATTAATCGCGTGATCTGCAACCTCATTCGTGAAAAAAGATCTTCCCCTCTCCTCTCAGCAGTTTTATCAAAAAATCAGAAACTTGTCCAGATTCATCTTCGGAATCACACTTGCATAAAGTTATTTCACCTTGAAGCTAAAACTTCATGCTAATGTAGCATGAAGTTGTTTCATGTTGAAATTAAAACTTCATGCTAATATAGCATGAAGTTGTTTTACATTGAAGCTAAAACTTCATGCTAATGCATGCTGAAGTTATTTATCTCGCGAGTCTACAGTTTTATCATGAGTTTTATCCGAAACTTCAGTCTAAACATGCTGAAGTTATTTAGTTTATTTGCTAAAAATTCAGACTAAACATGCTTAAGTTTCTTAGTTCATTTGCTAAAATTTCAGACCAAACATGCTTAAGTTATTTAGTTCAATTGCTAAAATTTCAGACCAAACATGCTTAAGTTATTTAGTTCAATTGCTAAAATTTCAGACTACATGCTTAAGTTTTTTAGTTCGTTTGCTAAAACTTCATACTAAACATGCATAAGTTTTTTAGTTCATTTGCTAAAACTTCAGACTAAACATGCTTAAATTTTTGTCTTGCAGTATGTAATTTTCTAATGAGTTTTTGCTAATGCATGCTGAAGTTATTTAGTTCATTTGCTAAAACTTCATACTAAACATGCTTAAATTTTTTAGTTAATTTGCTAAAACTTGAGACTAAATATGTCTAAGTTTTTAGTTCATTTGCTAAAACTTCAGACTAAACATGCTAAGTTTTTGTCTTGCAGTATATAATTTTCTAATGAGTTTTTGTTAATGCATGCTGAAATTATTTAGTTCATTTGTTAAAATTTCATACCACAACATGCTAAAGTTTTGTCATGCAGTTTACAGTTTTATCATGAGTTTTATCTGAAACTTCAGTCTAAACAAGCTGAAGTTTTTTAGTTCATTTGCTAAAACTAGGGATGTTCAAAACCAAACCGAAACCGAAAATCGAACCGAAATCGAAGCTTAATGGCTTATTAGTATCGGGTTAACGGTTTAACGGACGGGGAACGAATTAAATTTTTTTTATTAACGACTTATCGGTTTGGGGGCGGATTATTCAATTTTCTTANTGCTTGGCTTAGCTTAGCTTATTCTCCCACCCTACAACAAGATTGTTTAAGTTAATATCTATGGTTCACCTCTGCTTTTGTTTTTTAAAACTAATGCATGTTGTCTATGTTTAATAGAAGAACAGCAGTGTTGTGCCACATTTTTTTCACTCTATAACACATGACACACTACATCATTCTTATGTAGGCGTTAACAGACATGTACGTCTGGACTCAATGTATAATTTCCTATTCTGAATTTGTATGCTAGGCGGTCAACAAACAATTAATACACGCAATATAGATTGAATTAGGCCGATAAACCGTCCAATAACCGCCCGATAAGAGCTAAACCGATACCAATCCGCCCGATATCTTATCGGGTGGCTAGCGGATTGATACATTTAAAAGCCGATAACCGTTAAGAGTAATTAACCGCCCAATTCGCCCGATAAGCAGCCCTAGTNCCCGATAAGCAGCCCTAGCTAAAACTTCAAACTAAATATGCTTAAGTTTTTAGTTCATTTGCTAAAATTTCATACTAAACATACTTAATTTTTTGTCTTGCAGTATGTAATTTTCTAATGAGTTTTTGCTAATGCATGCTGAAGTTATTTAGTTCATTTGCTAAAACTTCATACCAAAATATGCTAAAATTTTATCATGCAGTCTACAGTTTTGTCATAAATTTTATCCGAAACTTCAGTCTAAACAAGCTGAAGTTTTTTAGTTCATTTGCTAAAACTTCATACTAAACATGCTTAAATTTTTATCCTGCAGTATGCAATTTTCTAATTAGTTTTTTATAATGCATGCTGAAGTTATTTAGTTCATTTGCTATAACTTCATACCCAAACATGCTGAAGTTTTGCCCTGCAGTTTACAGTTTTGTCAATAATCTTTTATTAAAGAAGGGCAAAATCGTCTTTTTAAAACGCTTTTAATAAAAAAAATGGATACAGATGCAAACGGAAAAGTGCTATGTAAAAAATGGATATAGTTTACTAGACATGAGTGCTGTGTAAATATTAAGGACATGGTGTCCTTAACTTTATGAATGCTGTGTAAGGACAAAGTGTCTTGTATTTGCACCTTCCGTTGTTAAACTTTAGGACATAATATCCTTAACTTCATATGTGCAGTGTAAATGTTAAGGACATGACGTCTTTAACTTTATGTGTACAGTGTAAATGTTAAGGACATAATGTCCTTAACTTGTATTTGCACCTTCTGTTGTTAAACTTTATGACCTCATGTCCTTAACTTCATATGTGCAGTGTAAATGTTAAGGACATGATGTCTTTAACATTATGTGTACAGTGTAAATGTCAAGGACATAGTGTCCTTAACTTTATGAGTGTTGTATAAATATTAAGGATATGATGTTCTTAACTTCATGAATGCTGTGTAAATATTAAGGAAGTGTCATGTATTTGCACTTTCTGTTGTTAAACTTTAGGACATCATGTCCTTAATTTCATACGTGTAGTGTAAATATTAAGGACATAACGTTCTTATCTTCATGTGTGCAGTGTAAATATTAAGGACACCATGTCCTTAATATTTACATAGCACTCATGAAGAAAGGAACGTCTTTTCGAATTAATTTTAATAAAGTAGTGACTATTTTTGCTCGGCATTAAAAATATTGGATAAAAACTAAATACCGTATTAAAAAGTGACTTTACCACCCATTTCTACCATTATCTCATAGTAATTTTATTCATTGTTTGAATTTTTAAAACACAGTAATTATGCGTCAATTTCCAATAAGTTGGGACTTGGGACTGATTATAGGAATTCTTAAAATTTACACAAAATACTATTCCTATAAAATAAGGTGAAAAAAGGACCCTCCCATAACCGATCGAATTTGTTCTCTGGCGGGAGCTTTATAATAGTAGGAAATTACTCATTTCTTTCTTTGGAAATATCAGATTAACAAAATCTGGCTTCTACATTGTTGACGTTCTGCTTTTAATCCCCTCAGCGGGGTTCCGCCATTGTTGAA